GTTTTCTGAGTGGGCAGGGCTCTGTGACCAGTTTTCACTTCCAGGTGGTGCTCAGAGGAAGCTTAATTTTTGTAGAAATGGAGAGTGGTAAAAGCCTTGGCCAGTTTGAAGATTAAAAATGAAAGGAGAGGCACAAGCCAATGAACAGTCAATATAGTGAATCTTAGAATGCTGCTTTAATTCACCCCTGGCAGGTTTACTCAATGCGATGTCAGGGGAATAAGCAAGGGATTTTTTTTATATGTATATGTAAAACTGATTTAGCAGATTTCACAATCTTTAATCGTGCCCCTCTTTCAAAATTACTGATTAGCAGTCTGCAGAAAGTTTCTGAAATTAAAAACTGAGGCTTTTTACTGAAAATCTCAGATTTTAACTTTTAGCTCCTTTTAGGAGATGTTGTTAAAAGGTCATAAAATGTGACCTGTAGTTGCTTGTTGCCCTGAAAATGAATCCTTTTGTGCTTCAGTTTGGCTCCTTTAATTAGAAGTCACAAAAGAAAATGTGGTCCTTGTAGTGAACAAAAATCATGTTTCCTTTGCAGGTACACCAGAAGGCATCTTTAATTACTGTTTATAAAGCTGGCTGTTCCTAAGTGTGAAGGATTATTAGTGCCAGGGTATTGTCTTTTGAAGTGAGGAAGAGCAGTGGCTGCCTCTGTCATGTTCTCATGGCTTCCCCTTTGTGCAGCAGAGGGGAGGATGGTATCAGAGGCTGTGTGCTGTGCCTCTGAGCCTCAGCACAGTGTGAGGCAGCCAGGTGGCCTCCAAAAATTGGGGGGTGGGACACTGTGGGAATCCAGGGCTTCCCTCTGGCTGCCCTGGCAGGTCTGGGACCCTGGCAGGGGTCAGGAACCCCCCTGGACAAAGCCCCCAGAGACACTGGCTCTGATCTCTGTCCATGGAAAAGGGTTTTCAGTCTTACAGAATGAATTACAAGCTCTGAGTGTTTGATATCAGTAATAATTAAGTGTGGCACAGGTGCAAAAGTAAAATTTTAGGATTCTAGATTAGGGGCCAAAGGGGACAAGGTGGAGGAAATTGGGTGTGCCTTGTCCTTTTTCTCCTTCTTCATGCCCTCCATGTCTCACTGTGGTGTTGGCATTTTTCTGTTGGTTCAGGCTGGGGACACACTGTTCAACGTAGGTGACAGATATTGGCACGTTCTTGTAAATCCAGCCCAGGGAGTTTCTGGTATTTAATGTTTGTCACATCCCACTGAGGGCAGAGCCCCACACGCTGCCCTGCAGGACAGAGCTGGGCAGGGCAGCAGAACATGTTAGAGATAAACAGAATAAACAACCTTGAAACCAGCACAGAGGAATTATGACTTCTTCTTTGGCAGGGGCAGAAAGACAGAGACTTTCTACAATCTGGGAATCATCAATACCTCAGATTCCGACAGGACACCAGGGTGGCTGGGACGAGCCCATCCTCACTCTCAGTGTGATGGGGCTGTCAGAGGGCAGCTCTGTGCCTCGGGGATGAAGCTCACCCAGGGCAGGACGTGGGGAGCTCGGTATGGGAGTAGAGCTGGGAAATGGCAGAGGAAAACCTCGCAGATGGAAAATTTGTCACAAAAGTAGCGCTTTGCCCAACGTGAAATCAATACGTGCTGCAAAGTAAGCACTGTAAATGAAAATCATGATACTAGAATTTAGGAATTTGGCCAAAGCTTTACATTTCATCGCAGCTTGGCTTTGGTTGAGTTTAGAATCCAGATTCCATAGGGGTGGTTGCTCTTTTTCCCTAGCACAGCACTCACATCTCTATTATGATTTGCCAATTTTCCCCTCCTCTTTCTGGTGCAGAACCTCAGAAGCATCCAAAAAGGGATTTTGGAGACCATAAACAGTTCTTAATTGAGAACAGCCCAGAATCAAGTTAAGTGATAGCTTGACTACCAGAATATAAATGAAACTCTTTTATTAAAGCATTGTATTTCAATTATTATGAAGAACAAGTGGCCCAACTGAAAAAGCTTTTAACATAGCAGTTATTTGCTTGATAGCTGATAAGTTAATTTTGGATGGATGATTACAGCTATTGCTTCTTGTCTTTTGACTTTCATTTTTACTTGATCTAATGACTGTTTACTGATTTTCATTTGGACTCATGGTGAACTTCTAATTCAATTGGTAATAAATTCAGATTGGTTGAAGCCTGTTATTGCAATCAGTTTTCCTAGTTCCAGTTTAAAAGGCCAATGGAGTTTTTGCTGGTGTTTTGAAGGAAGTTGGAACTGTTTTGAAACTGATGATTTGCAAAGCTGTTTGCAGGCTGACCAATTGATAATGAACAGTAAACACTTCTCTGTTCTTTACAAGAAGGATAACCAGCCATGCAGTGAGAGTACATGATGGCAATTCACTAAAACTGGGGAAAAAAACCCCAAACAGCCAGAGCAGGTGTCACTCTAGTCAAGTACTGAAAAATAATGTCCCCCTTGCATTGTTCAAGCCCTTCATTTGTAGCCAAGAGACTGAGGGGGGAATTAGACATGTGTTTGCTGCAGATTTTAGACTGTTTATGCTGTTTTCGTTCTCTCCTCAACCTGAACCTTTAGTGTCTTCACTTGCATCTTAATCCTGAGCTGATTTGTCTGAATGGTAGACAGGTACCACTGAAATGTGGATCGTGAGCTTCATCTGTCTTCCCTGCTGCTGTCTCATTGACTTCAGTGAGCTTCCAGAGGAATGAGTCTGGCCCACAAGAGGATGTGAACTGTCAAGAAGATAAACCTCTTTCTCATCCATTTGAAATGTTTGTGGGAAAGAATGCCCTAAATATTTAGCAGCTTGTGTAATTTGAGAGGCAATGCAGGGTTTTTTTTAATTTTATTTTTCTCCCTACCTTTCCATTTTCTTTATTAAATAGAGGAAAACCTTGCCTTAGGCCCAGTGTGCTTATGACAGGGAAAAAATATCTGCCAGAATCTCTATTACTGCTCAGGCCTGTATATATTGTTATTGCTCTTGTATTTGTAATAGCAAAAAGTGACTATGTAGTTTATGAAAAATCCTATTTGCAGAAAAATACCCTCCTCCCCCCAACTTTTCCAAAGGCAGCACAGTGTGTGAAGAATCCAGGAGCATTTGTGTTGGTTCTGTCAATGCAGCAGGGCTCGAAGCAGCATGGATGTAAGTGCTGGGCATGTGTGCATTGAGTGATGCAGCTCCTGAAAACAGGAGGGAACAGAGATGTTTTAAGCTGGTTTAGCTTCCTCTCCTTTGCATTTTTGGGAGGCAGTGCAGCTGCACAGAGAACATCACTCAAATCTACTGCAGCCCAGCCTGGTTTCTGGTGGACAGAAGAACTAATGTGGGACTTCAGTGCTGCAAACTTTGTATGTCCCCACTGGGGTCACCTATTTAAGCACTTCCAAAAGGCAGCCAAAGTGATTGCTTGCTTCAAAGATCTTGCCCCTTCCTATTTCAGCTGCAGGGAGCTGAGTCAGGCTTGGGTGGAGGGGGGGAGATCCTCCACCCAGATTGCCAGCTCAAGCTTGCCAGGGCTTTATCTCGTGTTCTTGGGCAACACGTTAGAAGTTCTGCACTGGAAGAGGTCTTAGAGAAAAGCACAGTCCACCACCACCATGCACCAGTGCCTGGCTGCTGCCTCTTCGGTCCTGAATGGAAAGACACCCATGTCTGTGCTTTAATGGAGCTGGTTTACATTTCACATGTGAAAGGGATGGCACAAGGTTCATGAATAATGCTGAGCATGGGAATATTCTCTCTGGGAGTGGGGCCATCCGTGTGTGTGCACAGTTGCAAATTCCCAGCCTGAGTGAACATGTAAAAAGTCACATTTATGCACCATTAAATTTACATGATACTGTCCACAAAATCAACATTTCGGAGCTTTTAGACTATCCATAGCATTTCTCCTCTGTGCAGGGTGACTCTGAAACAGATTCTCCTTGACTGGGATATCTAGGCAGCAGGTCCCTGGCAGTGTATCTTTTTCCCCAAGAGCTGTGCCAGCTCCAAGACTGGTTGCTGGTACCTTCAAAGGATGAGAAGTTGGCACCTCCTTTGGCTCCTGTGCAACCAAGTGCTCTTCTTTCCCAGCAGAAAGATCTCTGTTTTCTGCCTTTGCCCTCGCCTAGGGCTGAGCTGTCTTTATCACATTTACCCTGTGGGCACAGGAAGTGATATTATATAAGAAATAATTTTGCAACCCTATTTCTACTAATCATTGCCACTCCTACTGTAATAACAGACAGATGCAACACACACGATTCATGTTTCTATTATTTTTTGCTACAGTTTGCATGTGTTTTCCATTTAATTACAGTATATGAATTTCATCTCTCATTTTTTCCCTTCTTGCATTTAAAATTGAATTTGATATCTGTGATATATAGATAGGCCTGTGGTAAATTGATGCAGTGTTCACTCTTAAGTCTGTCTCTGCAAATCTCTTAAGTGCTCTGAATACTTTCCAGTTTTGTTGGTGATGCAATAGCATCTGGGATAGTATTGGAGTAGTTTCTGCACAGGGCAGAGGAGTAGCTTGAACATTTAAAGAAACTTTGCTTAACAACAGTACCAACACCAAAACCAATCACAACCATTTTTAGTTGCACCTTTATTGCACCAAAACATATTGCAATGGAATTTGCAGGAGGAGAAAACAGAGGTACTGTTCTGTGATGACCAGGATACCATCAACAGGATAGTGACAGCACTGAAATAGGAACCAGATTTTTGTGACTGGCCTACTCAGTGGGAAACATAACAATTCAGGCTTGAAGATTCTGTGGTGTGCTACTTGTCAGATCCTTTCTTTATCAACCTGTATTTCCATGTTTGAATTGAGCATGTTGTAAAACTTGAGAAAGGAGATTTCAGTCCAAGTTTTACATGAAAGAGGCCAGCGGAACTAGAGGGAAACAAAGAAACATTGCTAAATGCTTGTTCCTACATTAAAATAAAGTTAGTGGAAATCTTACTAACAGTGGGCTCTGCCTCATCTGTAACTTCCTGTGTGTTTCAGAAAGAGTTGAATTATCCTGCTACTTACCAAGAGGAGAAAAACAGCATAAGAGCACTGGTTAATGGGTGTGCTTTGGATTCACACTGGATCCTGGGAGCAGAATTGTTCCCTGTGGATGTACAAATATCATGGTAACTCCCCTCAGGTAATACTGAAGTCTTGTTTTTTAACTAAAGTGCAATGTCTGATTGCAGTGTGTTCTACAGATTGGTCAATCAACTGCAAATGACATTATTTAAAAAAAATGGGTAGATGCTTACTTAGTCCACACATAGCCCAAAGAAGCTTTGAAGGCTTTATGCGCTCTATTGAGTAAATAACTATAAATAAAACAGACTATTGAAACATCTTGAAATGTGCATTATGCCATCAAGCGATGCTGTTTGAAAAGAGCTGTGGTGTTTGGGAAAAAATAAACATTTTCAACAACTGTCCAAATATATATTTACACATAGTTTATGGTGTACAAAAGATATGTCTGTGACAACTCTTGGGCCCCAAAAAGTTTTATTAATTATTCTTTGAATTAAGTATTTTTGGTCACTTAAATGCTGCAAGTAGACAGGAGACAGTTAATCATAGGGAGAAATGCTGATTTCAAGTGAACTTGCAGTTTACTTCTCTCACAACCTTTAGTAGCAAATGGCAAAATATTGATATGGGGTATATGGAATAGACCTGTGTGGGGAGAGGACAGAGAACTGTAGTTCATACAGGCTTTTAGTACATGTTTGTTCAGCTGGGTGAATAAAGAGACATTTCTCTTAGTGAGAGCTCTCCTGGCCAGTTCCAGCTGGAAATGACCAGCACTAGGGCTATTACCACTGAAGTGTTTTTTTATTACTTGTTATGCCATCTAGGACCTGCAGATATTTTGGTATTCTGAATTCCCTAGACACCCAGTATTAGATATTTCAGTGTCCTAATTCCTGTTCAGTCGATGAGGAGCAGAGTCTGTGGGCTTCTGTCTTCATTGTTTAATGAAGGGTACAGTGTGATGCTTGGGAGACAAAATTTCTTTAGATAAGAAGCTTCAGAGTAGGGACCTTACTTTCCTGCTTGCCTGTGATGTTATCAAGCAATAATCCTTGTTAAGTAAGGATTAATGTTCAAACATGATCATGCTGATGAAATGGCTTTTTTGGCTGCAGAGGAGACCTGGCAGAGTCTCCTTTTGCTTGCCTCTGGATGGTTTTATAGACCTGGTTCACATGAGCCACTTTTCCTGTAGGTGAGGTGGGGGATCATCAGCTTCTCCCACTGCCACTGAGGAGCATCTTGGGCTGGGATCTCACCTGCATCTAAGAATAATGCCTTACAAAAGCATCCTTCAGTTGTAAAGCTCTGAAACCAAGTTCTCTGTCAGCTCTAAAGTTGTTTCGGATTTCATCAGCTTGTTTTATCACATGCTAGAGAGTGCCAGTGTTAAGAAGACTTGTCTTAAGCAATCCTCTTAGTGTTCCTGAGAGAGATGGTTATATTTTAAATATAGTGAGTCAATCTGTTGTCCATCTCTTATGGACAACTTGATCAGACCCCATGGGGCAAAGTTAATGGAGTCTTGTAATATCTAAAAAGCCCCTTTAGCAGCAGCACTGTTTCTTTTTTGGTTGTACTGCTTATTTGCTAATTCCCATCTCATTGCAAAACTTTCTAGGTACTCTGATTTCGTTATCTGACTTGTTAGGAGTGAACATGGCCCTTAAGGACTCCTCTATTTTTGGACAGTTGTCAATTTTACCAATTAAAAGAACGCCTTTGGATGGTTATCAGAAGCTGGAGCTGAAAACATGTTTGCAATTACTGATGACATAGCTGTTTCTATTTGCTGCTCTCTCTTTTAATTCCCAAAAGTGATATTTTTTTTGGCAGTAGATATGAGAAAATATGTCACTGTGTATAATTACAAAATGCTGTTCGTTTCTGTCTTGTAACTGTGGGGGGTTAGTTGGTACAACACATTTGGTTCATTCTTGGCTCACTCAACTGCATGACACACATTTAAGTGTATTATTAATTGTCATGTTAATATTCATTGCCATGTTAATTTCCATGGAATCATATAATTCTGCATGCCTCCAAATTTACATTCAAGGGTATATGCAAGCATAAAAAACCCCCACTGAATGGTTTCCTAGAACATTGTAATAAGCCTTAAATAAAATCACCTAATGAACATTTACCTCTAGGACACCTGGATTTTTTCAGCAGACTTTGACCCCACCATGATCATGGCTACAAAACAAGATTCATCCCTGGGCATGGGCTTTGTACAAAGCTGCTTTAAATGTTCATTGTGCTCTAAACCAGGTTCAAAATACAAATCCACAGTACTGGCTTTAATTTCCTAGGTTGCATCTGCCATCTTATCAGAGCAATCTGACTGCACAGTCCACTGAAGAAGCTGCATAATATTTTCAGTGGCCTGGATTTTTCACTTGATATACAACCAATATATGAATAGCTCTAGAAGTGTCTGTGAATTCTTCAGAAAATGGTTTTGCAAGAGAAAGTTCTAGTAGAAACAATAACTTAGGAAGAGCAAATCTGTGACAATAAGAGGTGAACCTCAAATAACTTGTCTGGGAATTTAAAAGAAAAGGATTGATACAAATATTTTGAGGAGCACAGAGTCCTCAGATCAGTAAGATTTTTTCATTGGTTTTGAATGTGTATCAGACTTCCAGTGCATGTTGGCTATATAAAAGAAAAGAGGGCACATAATGTCTGAAGTGCTCTGTTTTTCCAGAAAATAGTCCCATCTAAGAAAAAACTTGTCCATTTTTGAGGCATTAGTTACAAGGTGAGTTCACCTGCTGCAGTTTGAAGATGGGTGGGTTCTTTTCTCTAATCCTGGTGAAGTTTTGAGAGGTTTCAGATATGTTCTTTATCCACTTTTACTTCTCTTTCTCAGAGGGCTCCCAGGCTCAGGCAGAGGAGAGGGTGGCTGTGGCTCCTTGCCTCGGCTGGGGGTTGTCACTCTGAGCAGGCAGAAGGCCATGGCACGAAACCAGGGTGGGGTCACAGCACTGGAAATTTTATTGTAGCGTAAAAATAGCTCCCTGCCAAAGTCCTCACAGAGGAATGTATTTCAAGGTCAGCTACACTCCACAATCATCTCAAAACACGCTTGTAAATAAATTGTATGGGCTTAGCTCTGCTGTCATTGACATTTCCCCCCGAGTAAATGCCATGCCTGCTGTGGAGAAAATTCCACTGACTGAGAGCCCCACACCTGAGCAGGCTTAGAGCTTCCCTTCCCAGCTGGGATTTGGTAATCTCAGTTCTAGGTGGCAGCAAAGCCCTGCTCAAACCCTCTGAGCTGTCTGGGGTACACCTGCCCTGGGTAATGGAGAGCAGAGGTACCTGAGCCACTGCCAGGCAGGGAAAACCAGGGTTCCAACAGGTCCCTGCTGCTGCTGCTGGGGCCAAGCAGGGCTCTGGGGACAGCTGCCTCTCAGATTCAGCCTGGTTGTTTGGCCAGGAGTTGCTTATTTTCCTGTGCTGCAGCTGCACTTCCCAGGGTGGGACTCTGCTGCTCCAGTGTCTTTCTGTCTGGTGACAGTGTAGGTAGTTTCAGGCACAGGTGAACTCTTTCCAATCATTTGTGTATTTGCCATCAACAGCCAGCTGTGCTCTCATAAGAAACACCAGCACACTGTATTATTATTATTATTATTATTATTATTATTATTATTATTATTATTATTATTATTATTTAGTCAGCAGCTTGTATTCAGAAGTCATAAGTCATGTTTTAGGATAACAGACCTGCTTGAACACAGACATTTGGAAGTGTGAATGAATATAATGATAATATGTCAGGATAGATGTTTTGGAACTTCTTTCTAAACAGAAATTAATGTTTTATCTGAAAATAGTAATGGAAAAAAAATTGTGTAGTCTAGCAAAGTATATAATTTAGACTTGATGATAGAATAATTGTTTTCCATCAAGCAAACCAAAGAAGAATCCATAATAAAATTTTACAAGTTAGCTGCCACCAAGAATAAACTCAAGAGCACTATATGAAATGAATTGTGTGTTTTAACTGAATCTTCTCTCAGGACAATAACTCTAATGTAGAGCCAAGGTCTGAAGAGGTCACCTGCAGAAAACCCTCCTGGGGCATTTCAGAGGAGAAAGGAAATATTCTTCTCCCTGTCAGGTTCACTTCGTGCCCTAATATGTCTGAGGATGTGCATTGAAAACATAATCCACAGCCACCATTCTGAGTGGGGGTTTAGATAACAAGGGTCATTAAGAAATCTCTGAGGATGACAAACTTAACCCTCTGTGAACTTAAGGACCATATCATGCTACTAATGCAAAGAGTAAGTCTGGTTGATTGTAATTGTGACTGAACTAAAATGTCACTTACCATTAAGATCAATCTCTCTTTTTTTTTTAAGAATTCCAGCATTTCTCTAAAAATATGTGTAAGATCATAACTGGCATCTATTGAACATAGTGTGCCCTGCTCCTTTCCAGTGCTACGTGAGAGAACATCTGGATTTCCATGTGTTTCCAAATGTTTGCCATATCTCACATTGTGTTTGCAGGACCAGGGTGTGGCAATTCAGTGCAGCATCCCGAATTAAAATAATTATTGAGAAACCTCTACAGTTGTCATCACAAGTAACTCCACAACTTTGCTCAGGCCCCTCGGGTGAACCAGGGTGTATCGCGACTCTTCCCGCGCCCGAAGGATGACGTGTGCTCCTGAGGAATGTGCAGCACTCCTGGCTCTGGGGTAAGAACCAGGGGTAGTGCTGGGCTCTCATGCTGCCCCTCAGCTGGCTGTGCTGGGGGGAAATGCTCCAAAGCTGTTCTCAGGAATTCCCATGTTAGCTGTGTGGGAATGTCAGCACGTTCACATGTTTGGGTGGTTGGGCTCTGGAACAGGATCCCCAGAAAGTGTTTGGACAAACTCTCAGGCACATGTGGGATTGTTGGGGTGTTCTGTGCAGGGCCAGGAGTTGGACATGATCCTTGTGGGTCCCTCCCAGATCAGCCTGTTTTGTGATTCCGTGATTCCATGATTCTGTGATTCCGTGATTCTGTGTGCCATATACAAGGGAGAGAGTTTGAAGTTGCCCCGCCAGTGGCAGTGTGAAAGATTCCTGACTGTTGGCACTATAAAAATCATTCCCTAAGCATTCTCAGACCTTTAAAACAATGGCCCAATTTATGCCTGAATGAAGCAAAGATGCCACTTCAATTGCCCTTGCCCAAATCCCCATGCTCTGTCCTACAGGCATGCCTTTGAGCCTGGAGCCTCGTGTGAAATTTTACAGCTCCATTATTAGGATGTCATCAATTTGAACAATTACAAATTACAATGATATTAAAATAACCAAGCAGCACTAGCTAAAAGCCAGCTAGTGAGAATTAGCACATTCCTTGCTCTCCAGTCATGTTGGGGCTCCTTGTTTGGTTTCTCTGTCCCTTGTCTTGCATCAGGGAGTCAGGGTGTCAAAGTTCTCATTTGCATTTTAGCTTCCTTAACTCCTAAAAGTGAAGGAACTTGGCTAAGCATAGAGTTTCAGTATATTGTGTTTGCTTAAGGGGATTTAGGTGCTTACAGAAAATGCTGGGTAGATAGAAACTAACTATAAGGATTATGGGTGAATTTTATTTAGCTATACTTCTCAGTTCCATTCAATGAGGCTTTTTTGATTTCTAAGCTGTAGATGTCTTTTGTTCTAAGTAAAAAAAAAAATTAAAATATCCCTTGGGTGCTGTTCATGAACAAGAATCATAGAAGAAGCTTTCCTTGCTTTACAGCAGATTCCACTCTGTGTCTGTTTCTCAGCAGAGTCCATCTAGGTGTTGCTGAGCTGGTGTCAGGGTGCTGCAGATGACAAACCATTTCCTTTCTCCTGGGATCAGCATGAATTTTTGTCTCATTGGATTATTTTTTCTCAGAAAGTTTTTTTCTTTTTTTTTTCCTAATGATTGGATGCACTGGCTTTATGGCTTTTTCTCCCCACTTCTTTTTCTCTTGGTTTGGTCATACGACACAGTTACAATAATTTTTATAGTGGTCCATGATGCAGTATATAACTGAAGGCACTATGCAGCATAATGTCTTGGGGATGTTAATAGACATACAGTCTATTCAAATTCAAGTCCCTGGGAGACAGGAAACCCTGGTTTTTGGAGGGCTTGTGGTCTTGTGCTGAAATAGGTTCAGACTAGTACTCCTCTCAGTACGATAAATCAGGAGTGATTTCCTTGAACTCAAAAGGGGTCAGAAAGAGATAAAACTAGTGACAGGAGAATCATCTCCCTTTTCTCTTAAGAGCAGACAGTTGGTTAAATTCCTTTACTCCTCAGATAGTGTTGAATGTCATGCAAGTGATCATTGGGTCTGTGGGGAGTGGGATACAATCAGGATGTTAATGTGCTGGGAGTGCAGCTGTTTCTTCCCTGGTGTTGCCTGTGCTTTGACTCACCTTTGCTGCCAAAGTACTCCTTCAGTGCTCTTCATTTGTAACTCAAATCTTTACCCACACACATTTGTGACTGAGACTTGTAAGAGACAATTTTATGCTTGAAAAGGGGAGAATTACTTTACAACTATACCTGTTGTCTGTGCAACTGCTTGACAACCTCGCAAGAATTCCTTTCACTCTGTGCCTCTGGTTCTCTTTCAGTAAGAAACAGAACATGTATAGTTCTAAGTGCTGAAAATCAAATGCTGGCATGATATATTAGCTTCTCTCTACCCCCCTCTGCCCCACCAGTGTTCTAAATATGGCTCTACTTTGAAATTAAGTGCACTACAGAATATTCGGTTGCAGCACATTGCTGGCATACAGTTTATAAATTGTTAGTGTTTGGCAGCCCTTGGTTTTTAAATTCCTACTGATCACAAGTAGCTGGCACTAATCAGTTCCAATAGAGTTACGTTACTGTGTACCTTCTTAAATGGCTGGAGTGGAGATATACATCTAAAACCCAATATATAATAGCCACATGTCAGAAACACTTTACTCTGAGCAGGGTTTTTATTTTACTTTTTACATCTCTCACATTTTACATCTGGTTCAACAGTTCTGAAGGAAACTACATCTGATGTGATAGCAGGAGATCTATATCACACATCTCAAAACCTGCCAGAAATGCAATTTAAATATAGTTTTGGACAGAGTAAAAGGAGTATTATTGGTATCAGATGTTTGGGCAGTGAGAAGTTGAGCTCCGTCCCCCCTTGGTCTTTTTTCATACAGAAGGAAATCATAATGTGAAATCCTAGTTGTGCTAAAACTTGTGAGAGCTTCACTGCTGATTTCAGTCCTCAGTTTCACCTTGCAGTTGTAAGGTACCTGCCAAGTTCAAGTGAAAGTGTGAGGCTGGAGCAGCAAAGACAGACCTGGACATGGCCCTTTGCAGAGATGAGCAGGGTTTGAACTGGTTTCAGTGGGGATAACTCTCAGCTGTGCTGTGTCACAGACTTCAGAGAGACCTTCTCCAGTATTTAGAACCACAAAAAGTTTGTGCAGGGCAGGCTGGTTCTCATAGATGTCATTCCATTCCAGTTTATTTTCATGGTGCAAGTTTAGAAATATCTGAAATTTCAGATAAGCTAGTTCAACTGAGGAATTTTATGCCTTGGTCATCTGAGAGTGCACACACCACCTGGACTGAACTTCTGAGGTTTGTGAGAATCATTCAGCAGCAGTGGATGGAGAACCTGACCCCCTGGCTGCGTCTGTCACACATTAGCACCCCCATGGCTGCCTCTGAAGGGGCTGCCTGCACGTCCTCCACACATGGCAGTAGGCTTAGTTGCTTGGAAATAGGAGAGCCTGTGCATTAAAGAGGTGTAATTTTAAGACTGTTGGTACTTGGGGTTTGCTGAAAAACAGGCCTTGCTGATCCAGGGTACTGAGACCTGCTAATCAGAGCTGTCAGTCAAAGCTTGGGAACGTGTTCAGCCACTTGGGTGTCAGCAGTGTGCCAAAGCACCTATCCATGTATCCCAAATGCTTTTTGTTCTTGTGCTGGGTATGTAAGAGATGTCACTGTGTGAGTCTGGGGCTGCCTGAACAGACAAACCAAGATTGACTCAGTTATTAGGATCCTAATCATTATTATTTCATCACTCTGGAGCCCTAATGAAGAACAGGGGCCTCAGTAGGAAGATGAGCTTCAGCTCCTGCTTTGAAGAACACTACATTTTTGTCTCATTACTTCTGATCATAATCCAACACCAAAAGAAATCAAAAGCTGTCTCTGAATTCAGTGAGGGCTCAGGGCACACGGAAGCTCTCAGGAAATGCTCAGTGTGTTGTCAGGATCAGGCCTGTAATGTGTAACTCCAACATAAAAAACTCATTTCCTTTGAAGCTCAGTTGAGTGTTACTACTACACATCAGCATGTTGCACCACACAGAGTATATCAAATTTGATGTCATTTTTTTTCTTCCTTTTTCCCTGGGAACCTGTAAATATCCTTTGGTAGCAAAACCAAAGAGGAATAAATTCTCCTCGATGTATTTACAAATGTGAGAAGCTTTTCAAGTTGTATTTGCAATTCTCTTTCTTGCAATGACCTCTATTTTCATAATCCTTCATGGAATATCATGGTTTAAAGAGCTTTCTCTCCCTGCTGTTTCTGTTAAAAGGTTTTTGGTGTGATATTTGGGAAGTCAAATTCTGCATTTAAATGTTGTGTTTTCACAGATATAAATGAAAGAGGCCATATTTATCTTTTTCTCTTCTTTTCCCTTTTTCTGAGAACATCAAGCAATTCCACTTTTCTACATGTATTGTTAACTAAACCGTGAGAGCATACAGCAGCTTTAATAGTAAAGCAATTGTGATTGCATCTTGCTTGTAATTACATTTATTTCCTCACATATGTCCAAAAAGGCAAGCATTAGTTTGGCCTGTATAGGCATGTGCTAATGGCAAGAAAATAGTCTGGCAGCTTGACAGCAAGGAAAATAGCTTACAGTCACTTAAAGTCTTTCATGTCATGGACACTTGCAAAGAGTCTGAGCACTCAGGCTTTTGCTTGCATGCTTTTAAAATCGATTGCGTTCTGAGAGAGGGGGAATTTCCAATGTGCAGTGGATTTGCATCTAAATAATCCAAATATGAAGAGATACAATTGGCAAGGCACGGGTGTGTGATCACAGATTTGAGGAACCCGGTAATGGCACTCTACAGGAGTAATCTACAAATATCCCCTGCTCTGCTCCGTGTTAGCCTGGCAGAAACGCCTGCAGCTGTCCATGGAAAAAAAGGTGGGCAAATAAAGAATCCCTGGTATCTGGAAGGACTCTGAGGCTCACTTGTATCCCACATACCATCTCATTGATTTAATTGACCTCTGTGTACAGGACAGTGCAATCCAGGGTGACCCAGAGGTTGTTCCTGTGGGGACAGGGCTGTGCCAGCCCCGGCACTCCTGGCATGGGATGACCACACTGGTGAGTGTTCTTTTCACTTTTTAACAAAAACCTGGCTAGAAATTTTGCACACTGATTTATGACAAAGCTGAAATCACACACATTTTCTCAGTGCAGAAAAGTTTCTTATTGGAAATGGTAAATGTTACAAAGTTCTTCAGAAGCTGGA